TTGCTACTGCCAGCTTTAATCCTGCGATTAGTGTTTCATACTCTGCTTCATTGTTTGAGGTCTTGAACCCCAAACAAATGGATTGTTCCAGTATTTGCCCATCTGGAGATACTAGCACTACTCTTGCCTCCGCTCCTTGTCGGTTTAAACTCCCATCAACAAACAGCCGGAATGAGTCGCCGATGTAAATACTGCAGGGCCTGAATTTTTCTTCCTTCCTTTGTTTTGCTGTCCCCTACTGGGTTTTTCCTTGATCGCTTGGACGTTGTATACCTCGACTCAATGGAGCCCGATGTATGATGGTGTCTGGTGTGAATTCGGCCACAAATTCGGCTAAGACTTAGCCTTTGATTGCTGTCCTGGGTCTAAATTCTAGGTCATATTGGTCCAAGGCCACTGCCCATCTGGCTATTCTTCCTGTCAGATCTCCCTGCTATGATAGGGACGTCAAAGGATGTTCAGTTAACACCACAATTTTGTGGGCTTGAAAGTAATGATTCAGCTTCTTGGAAGCCATTACTAAAACCAGTGTTAACTTCTCCAAGGGTAGGTATCTGGTCTCTGCATCTGCCACGGTTTATTTACGTAGTAAACCGCCCTTTGCTCTCCATTTCTTTCCTGATTATTATTGCACTCACTGCATGCTCCGAAACTGCCAAGTATAAGAACAGCTCCTCTCCAGGTATTGGATTTGAGAGGACTGAAGTTGTGGTCAAATACTTCTTCAAGTCGCCAAGGCAGCTTCGCATTCTTCTGTCCACAAGAAGTCTGTGGCTTTCTTCACTAAGCTGAAAAAAGGTTTGCACTTGTCAGAGCTTCTTCTTATAAATCTATTCAGGGTTGCAGCCCTTTCAGTCAACATTTGCACTTGTTTTGCCGATGTTAGGCTCTTCAGCTCTAAGATGGCTTTGATCTGATCCGGGCTTGCCTCAATGCCCCTTCTAGTTACCAAGTATCCCAAGAACTTACCAGATCTAACTCCAAATGCACACTTCGATGCATTGAGTCGGAGCCGATATGTTCTAAGGATGTCAAAAACTGCCTTTAGGTCTTCCAGATGACCCTCAGGTTCTTTGGTTTTCATGACCATGTCATCTATGTATACCTCCATAGTTTTGCCAATTAGATGTCTGAACATCGTAGTCACTAATCTCTGGTAAGTTGCTCCTGCATTTTTCAATCCAAAAGACATCACTCTGTAGCAATACAACCCTTTTGGGGTGATAAATGCAGTCTTCTTCTCATCTGGGGGGTACATGGCTATCTGATGGTACCCCCTGTAGGCATCCAGGAAGCTCATCCTTCCGTGCCCTGAAGTGGCATCCACCAATTGGTCAATCTTGGGTAATGGGAAATTGTCTTTGGGACAAGCCTTGTTTAGGCTGGTAAAGTCCACACAGACCCTCCACTTACCATTCTTTTTCTTCACAACCACTGTGTTTGATAACCATGTTGGGTAATCTACCTCTCGAATGGCTCTGGCCTCTAGAAGTCTATCCACCTCCTCTTCTATTGCCTCAACATGAATTGATGTCGGCTTCCTTGCTCGTTGGATGACAGGTTTGGCCGACCTGTCTACATTTAGTTTATGGCAAGTGACCTCGGGGTCAATGCCAGGCATCTCGTACGGCGTCCAGGCAAACACTTCAATGTTTGCTCTCAAGAACGCCTTTAGCTCTTTTTTCTCCTCTTCAGCCAAGCCCAAGCCAAGAAGGAAGAAGCGCTTTTTATCCCTTTACTGGACAAGGATTTTTTTCAGGGCTTCTTCACTCTTCTCGGCTGGCTCTTTGCCGATATCCTCCAGGAATTCCATGTCCTCGTCTTCAATCTCTGTTGGTTCTGCTTCGCGTATGTTGCAGATGGATTTCATTGCTGCCATGGAATAATTCTTTGCCTGTACTTGATCCCCTCTGACCTCCTCAATTCCATGCTCTGTTAGGAACCACAACAACTGGTGCAATGTTGAGGGCATAGCCCCTATTGCATGCAGCAATGGCCTTCCCAGGATAGCATTGTAAGGGAAGGGAGTGTCAATTACTATGAACTCAGTTTTTATCTTCTTGATGCCAGCTTGCATCTCCAAGCTAACTGCTCCCAGGGGCCATGTCAACGTTCCATTGAACTCTACCGTTAGACCATTGGATTGTTCCAGATCATCTTGGTGGAGGCCAAGCTCCTTGTAACACCTGACATATTTTATGTCACAAGAGCTGCTTTGGTCAATTAAAATGCGCTTCACTTGGCATTCTCTAATCTGGAGGGATATTACCAAGGCATCGTTGTGGGGATGTTGCACTATCTCTAGGTCGTCTTCAGTAAAGGACACCACTGGTCCTTGGCACTCGTCTACCCTAGGTCTTTTCTGCCTGACCTGGTACACATGTTGCAAGTGTTTTACCTTCTGAGTCTCCCCACGTATTTTGTTCTCATTGACCTTCGAATGAATCACATTGATCACTCGAGGTCCGCCTACCTGCAGTTAGGGTGCTGGAGGAGGCAGTGCTGCCGGTGCCGGTGGCAGTCTTGCTTGCTTTTTCGTTGTCCTGGCCTCGTCTACAAGGTCCCTTAAATGGCCTTGCCTTACCAGGTCTTCAAGATGTGCCTTCAAGGCTCTGCACCCCTGAGTTAGATGCCCATCTTCGTTGTGGTAAACACAGTGCTTGCCAAGGTTTCTTCCCATAAATTCACTAAGGGCCCTTACTGGTGCTCTATAAAAAGGCTGATTTCGGATTTTCTCCAGGACTTTGTAAATTGGGATTCAGAATACGGTTGTGACTGCCTGTGCATCCCTTAGTCCTGTTTTTGGCTTATTGTATCCGCATTACCTCGGCCTCGCTTTGGCGAGCCGTTTCCCTTCTCTTGTTTCGACGCCTTTGTCCTCAGCGTGTCTTCCGCGGCCCTCGCATATTTCTCAATTCTGGCCATCAGTTCCTTCATACTTTTTGGCAGTGTCTTTGCCAATGATTTTCGAAGCAATCAATCATCTTTCAGGCCGTTCTTAAAAGACATGACCGCCACCTTTTGGTTGCATCCTAGTATCCGGTTGAATACCTCATAGTACCTCTTGGCATAGGCCCTAAGGCTTTCATCATCGTTGATTCTCAGAGCCATCAGGGAGTCCACCCTTAATGGCTGTAGCTTGTTTGTCACAAACCTAGCCACAAACATCTCAGCCAGGCCTTCCCAGGTCTTCACAGTTCCTTTCGGCAACTTGTGAAACCAGTCTAATGCAAGTTCCCCGAAGGACGAGGGGAACACCTTGCAAAGCAACGGTTCGTTCCCAGTGTATAATGCCATCGAGTTTATGTATAAGCTGAGATGAAAGTTGGGGTCTGACTTATCATCGTGTATCTGGAATCTCAGCATACTGAACCTTTTCAGGGCCTCAAATTTGTCCAACTCTACCGAGAACGGCGTTCTCGGCTTAACTGGGGAGGTTACCTCGACATCTTGTTGCTTCCTCTGAAGGTAATCCCTCAGAACTTCCTTGGTCCGCCTAGGAGCTCGGCTATCTCCAGATTTCAATCTTTTCAGTGCACTACTTGCGGTGTCATTGTGAGTCCTCTTGGACCTCTCTCTGTTAGTTGTGTCGAAACAGAGCTCCTTCCCTTGAACATGCCGATGTTCTTTGGGGTCATCCTCCTTGGTACAATGCGTCCTCCGTGAATCTCCTTTTATTGACTCTCCTCGCCCAACCTCCCTTGAAGGCCGGTGAGAGTGTTCCTTGGTTCTGACGTGCTGGGGGGCTACAGGGACTGTTTTCTGGCCTCCCTTCTGAGCATTGTTCTTGGCCGCTAGAATCGGCGTGTCTTGTAATGGGAACGATGGCTACATGACGTTGTTCTGCATCATGAAATTGACGACCTTTGTAGGTCCGCCAATTTGTCTGCCATTCCCTTCATCTCTTCGTCCCTCCGCAGACATCTATCTTTCCATACCTGGAGGTCGTCCTCGTTATAATACCTGCTTCGGTCTGATTTCTTTGGTACGTCGCCCTCCTGGCCGACGTCTTTATCCTCGTGATTCTTATTATGAGTCTCTTCATTGCAGTTGTCTTCCTCAACATTAAGGTCAATGTGCTTACTGCTCTCAGTAGGGATGCCGTCCCCAACCTTTTCTTTTTGTCCGTTGTTGGCCATCTATTCCTCTTTCTTTTCCATAGACGGCGCCAAATTGTGTGTGTCAATTTCCGACCACACTGCCAAACAGGTACTCAGCTAGAGAACACCGACAGAATAGATTAAGCCCGAACGACCTGTCAAAAAAAAAAGATTCCGGCGATGGTTCATCCACCCAACGGCACTCCGACGATCAAGTCAGTTATCTCTTAAAGATAGCAAAAGTGCTTAACTCACTATTCAGAATACAAAAGCGTACCTTAGACCCGCGAGGGTGCCTCTCTTTTATAGCCAACACTGATCTAATCCCAATAGAAGCCTGACTTCAATGGTCTCTGGATTATTGCTAATCTTGGACTCCCAGTAGGATTGGGATAAACTCTCTAAGAGTCTTATCTTTATCCAAATTGAAATCATCACTTATTTTAGGACTCTTGTCCCTTATCCGCTTATCCTGGATTCTGGTATCTTCGCAGATAACCTCGGCCTATCCGAGATCATCTCGACGTCATGACCAGGACACGTGGCACCTCGGCTGGCACTTTGGTGCCACCTCGGCCACGTGTTGTCACTAAAAAATTATGTTCCCACAGTGATCTTGTTCTAATTTGAATTATTTTTTATTTTTATTTTATTGGTATTATTTTTAGGGGAAGGCAATGGCTCTCTCATATTATCAATTGAGAAATTTGCATGAAGACAATGAAGTAATAGAGCTTCAAAGATAACCAAATATATAACCAAGATTGAATAATTAACATCCTTTGCAAGCTAAACAACGCCCAGAGATATGATTTCATTCAGTATATCCCAATTGGCTGTTCTTTTCCCTATTGTTCCCTAGAGATACCAGATCTTTAATATTAACTTTGATATTCATTTAATGGTACAAGATTCACAGCCTCACTGGTTTCTCAATTTTGATAACTACTGTTTCCATGTTTAACAGGGCAAATAATTAAACCTAAATCAAAATAGTTAAGCTTGCCCTAGTATCCTTTTCTCCCTTGTAAAAGTAAAACATTCAACAAAAATCAATTATACATTTATACTAATACAAAAAAATGGAAAGCACAACAGGGAATTTTTTTAAATGGATGTACCTCCAGAAATCCCATTCTCTTCGTTATTTACATTGGCTATCTTACTTATTTGTAACCATTTCTCTATTAGTGTGATCCTTATGTTGTTTCTCTCTCTTCCTGCCCTCTGTCAAATTCTTTATCTCTACCTTTCTGCTAATTTTTCTGTCTCTCTTTTATCATTTGCCTCAGTTCATGGACATCCTTTGTAATGAGATCTAAGGGTTGTAAAAATGAGAAATCTTTATCCATTATCTGTTTCACTCTGGCAAGCTTGAAAACAAACATTGATCAACATATGTATAAGGTACACAAAAAAATAAATAAATAAATTGATCAAAAGTAGATATAAATTTGCAACAGAATGAAGCATGCTAACATTACTCGTGTTTGCTTCCATCTCTAGATACTAGAGTCCTTTCTGTACAAATGTGATGAGAGCTCCGGGTGGAACCAAATTGCCATCAACAGGGCATTTATTAATGCCTGCCTCATATCCTAAAATGTTGAATGCATAAAACCTGCAACACAGTATGTTGGACCTTTTTAATATCTTTTATTTATTTATTTTGTTTGTAAATCTTCTTTTGTTTTGCTCATGAATCTCATTTTGTTTGGTGAATGGAGATTCATTATTTTTGGTGACCTTTTGTCTTATTCATGAATGGAGATTAATTAGAATTTCATGGACTTGGTGGTGAGTTAATGGTCATTATTATTTTTTGGTATAAATTGTAAGGTCCTAGTGGCCTATAAATAGTTTCTCTCATAAACTCTTTTCTACATCAACTATTGTTTATACTTGAGAGATTACTAGCAAAGAAGCGTGTTTTTCTTGGTGGAGCTTTGGGTTCACCATCTTGTGTAAAGTTGGCCTGAATCATACGACAAGTGGTCAGGTTGTTGTATCTTGGAGGAGACAAGCCATAGTTCCGTGACTACTGCATCAGTATTTGGGTTCTTCTTACCACAGTGAGCTTGATCTCCTTAAAGAAAACGAGATATCTGTGCCTCAGCCTGATCTATTTGTATCTCAATTTCTTTGCATTATTTATCAATAAAATATATTTTTTTTGGTATTTTCACCAATAATTTTAAGAAGATCAACCATGAAACAAGTACCAGAAATAACCAATGATGGAATTGGAGATCTCAACAAGCCTTTCAAGTTCAAGGGAGTTCATTTTAAGAGGTAGAAAAGAAAAGTTCTTTTTTACATCAGCCTTTTGAAAGTTGCATCTTTTCCTTTTTTACCTTAGCCTTTTGAAAGTTACATATGTTCTTATCGAGAAAAATCCAAACAAAATCTCAACCGAGGAGATGAATGATGAAGATTACGAGGCACATGAAGCAAAAGTGGCTTCTTACAATACAAATGAGTATAAATGTCATTTTTATCTCTTAAATTGCCTTCTGATCAATTTTATGATTACTATGACACCACTTATACTTCTGCAAAGAAAATTTGAAAAGCTTTACAGTTACAGACTAAGTATGATACTGAAGAGGCAGGAGCAAAAAAGTATGCAGCTAGCCATTTTTTTCGCTTCCAAATGGTGGATGGAAAATTTGTTGTGGAGCAAGCACAAGATTTCCAAATGATAGTTGTAGAAGTAAAATCTGAAGGCATCAAGATTGGTGACTACTTGGTAGTTATAGGACTTGTTGACAAGCTACCGCCATCTTAGATAGAATTTCAAAAGAGCATGCACCACAAACAAAAGAAGACTTCCTTAGAAGTGTTGATCACTCGCATCTGAGTCGAAAAGGAGGCTAGAGGCCAAGATACATTAATAACACAAGAGGGTAATGACAATTCTAAGGTAAACTTTGTTTCAGCAAATAATAACTTACCCAAATGTCATAATTCCAAGAATGCTTATTTGAAGCCTTATAAAAAGAATATGAAGAATTATGAAAAACCTCACAATAAATGGATTAATCCAAATAAAAACCAAGGTCCATCACCTCTACAAATTTTACATGCTTTGTCTGTGGCAAAAGTGGGCATATTGCTCGAACTTGCAAATTTTGAAAACGTGCACTTGCCCCAAAGGCTAACGTTATTGAGGAGCCATTTGTGGCGATGATTAGAGACATTTGCACGGTTAATTATGTGGACGGCTGGTGGGCAGATTCTAGCGCTAATAGATGTGTTTGTTATGATCAAGCTTAGTTCAAGGTGTATACTCCCTTTGATGATGAGAAAACAATTATGTTTGGTGACTCTAGTCAAACCAAGATACTTGGGAGTGGTGAGGTTGACCTTAAGTTCACCTCTGGACGTGTGCTTACTTTAAAAATGTGCTTTATATACCGTCCATAAGAAAGAATTTGATGTCAAGTTATTTGTTGAATAGGCTAGTTTTAAGCAAATTATGGAATCTGATTAATATGTGATTACCAAGAAGGGTATTTTTGTGGGTAAGGGTTATGCTTTTGATGGGATGTTCAAATTGAATGTTGAGATTAATAAACCATCTACAAATTCGGTTTATATGTTATCTTCTATTAATTTTTGGCATGCTCACTTATGTCATATTAACAGTAAATATGTAGGAATTATGAGTAGTTTAGGATTAATTCCTAAAGTGACAAAAAATTTTGAGAAATGTGAAGTTTGCAGTAAAGCAAAAATTACCAAGAGGCCTCATAAAAGTGTTGAAAAAAATACCGAATTGCTAAAATTATTTCATATTGATTTGTGTGAGTTTGAAGAAATTTTAACTCGGGGTGGTAACCGATATTTTATCACTTTTATTGATGATTTTTCAAAATATACAAACGTATATTTATTAAAAAATAAAAGTGATGCTTTTGAGAAATTTAAAGAATTCCTTCTTAAAGTGGAAAATCAATTCGGTAAAAAGATTAAGAGAATTAGAAGTGATAGAGGCCAGGAATATGAATCTCTTGGATTCAACTCTTTTGTTCAGTCATTGGGAATTATTCATGAGACTATTTTACCATATTCACCTTCATCTAATAGCGTAGCTGAAAGAAAAAATAGAACGTTAATTGACTTGATGAATGTTATGCTTATTGATTCAGGTGCTCCCTCAAATTTTTAGGGCGATGCTATTTTGACTACTTGCCATGTGATAAATAGAGTGCCACACAAAAAGACTAAAATTGTACCTTATGAGTTGTGAGAAGGGCATAAACCAAATCTAGGTTATTTGAGGGCTTGGGATTATTTAGCTTTTGTGAGGCTTGTAGATCCTAAATGACTTAAATTAGGTGAACGAGCTACCACTTGTGCTTTCTTGAGTATGCATTGCACAGTACAGCCTATAGATTTTTTGATATAGAAAATAATATTATTTTTGAATTAGGTGATGCTATTTTTCATGAAAAAAAATTTCCTTTCAAATCTAGAAATAGTGTGGGTCAAATAATTTCTGAAAATATTTTATCCATGCCTAGCTCTTCTACTCCATTTCAAGTTTTTCAAGAACAAGAAAATTCTCAAATCAAACCAAGGAGGAGTAAACGAGCTAAAGTTGAAAAAGATTTTAGCTCTGACTATTATCTTTACAATGTGGAAGAAATTCCTCTTACGGTACAAGAAGCTTTATCATCACCTAATGTTATTTTTTGGGGAGAAGATGTAAATGATGAGATAGATTTACTACTTTCAAATAAAACATGGAAGCTAGTAGATTTACCTCCAGGTTGTAAAACTATTGGGTGTAAATGGGTCATTTGTAAAAAACTTAAACCGGATGGAACTACAGATAAATATAAAGTGAGGTTTGTCACTAAAGGTTTTAAGCAACAAGTTGATCTTGATTTCTTTGATACTTTTTCTCTAGTTACTAGAGTTACATCTATTAGACTGTTGATAGCAGTGGCTGCAACTCATGATTTAAAAATTCATCAAATGGATGTTAAAATAGCATTTTTAAATGGAGATCTAGATGAGAAGATTTACATGGACCAACCCAAAGGCTTTGTGGAGCCTGGCCAAGAAAGCAAGGTGTGTAAGCTAATTAAATCCCTTTATGGTTTAAAATAAGCTCCTAAACAATGGTATGTGAAATTTGATTCCTAAATGCTTGAGAATGACTATCAGACTAATGAATGTGATAAGTGCATTTATTATAAAACTTGTGAGAATGTACAAGTGATTATTAGCCTATACGTGAATGATCTACTTATCTTTGGCTTTAATTTACATATTATAAATTAGACTAAAAATATGTTTAATAGTCACTTTGATATGAAAGATCTTGGTGAAGCCAATTTTATTTTGGGAATTAAAATTACTAAGACTAATGATGCCGTTTTTCTTGATCAATTGCATTATGTTGAGAAAATTTTAAAGAAATATAACTTTCTAGACTGTAAACATGTTGTTACTCCTTTTGTTGCAAGCATACATTTATCTATTGTAACAAATGAAAAAGAAGTGATTAATCAAATGGAATATGCTAGCATGATTGGTAGTTTGAGATACGTTACTGACTGTACTAGACCTGACATTTCATATGCTGTTGGAGTACTTAGCAGGTTTACTAGCAAGCCAAGTCAAGATCATTGGCTAGCCATGGGAAGAATTATGAGATATTTATTTGGTACAAAAAATTATGGTTTGTTTTATACCAAGTATCCTGCGGTACTTGAGGGATATAGTGATACCAATTGGAACACTTTGTCAGGTGATTCTCTCTCTACCTCAGGTTTTATTTTTACCTTGGGTGGTGGTGCTATATGTTGGAAGTTTAAAAACAGACTATAATTGCTAATTCTACAATGGAAGCTAAGCTTATAGCGTTAGCTTTAGCATGTGAGGAAGCGAATTGGTTAAGAGATTTGTTACATGAAATCCCTTTTTGGGAAAAACCAATTCCTCACGTGTTAATTCGTTGTGATAGCACTACTGCTATTGGTAGATTGAACAACCATTCTTATAATGGTAAATCCAGACCTATTCAAAGGAAACACAGTAATATGAGATCCTATTTGAGTAATGGCATCATAACTGTGAATTATGTAAAATCTTGTGATAAGCTTGTGGATCCGTTAACCAAGGCCTTGGCGAGAGATAGGGTCTGGAATACATCGAAGGGGATGGGTTTGAAGCCTATAAAATCATAAACCATGTATGAGGACACCCAACCTGGGGACCGAAGATCCTGTGACTAGGTTCAATGGGAATAATGAATCATATGGTGGTTGTAAAAAATGCACTCCTTAATATTTTGTTATTCATTCATATGATGTAAGTGCATTTGTTCTGTAATGTTGAAGGGTTGAGTTTTTATATTCTTAATGAAATTCTGTAGCTCTTGTGTAGTGGGGTGTGTAAATTACAGGAACATTCTTGATAGATTTCACCTATGTGAGCATGAAAGCGGGGCCGCTTTCTATGAGAACAAGGCTTATTCTCAAATATGCTCATGAAAACTGGGATAGACACAAGGCCGTAATGTGCTGGCTATTAAAAGCTCATGTCAACACCTGGATTATTATATGTGAGCAGTAATACTTTATTTCCCCTAAGTAGCCATAGTTCAAGTCTAAGACTACTATCGACTCTGGAGTAGAGGTCGTTGTTTCACAAATGAAGGTTCAATGCAAAACACATCGCCATGATGCGTACTAGTCTATCTTTGTTTGGTAATCTCTCTTGTCCTTGTTGATATTAAAATAAGTGGGGGACTGTTGAACCATTTTAATATCTTTTATTTATTTATTTATTTTGTTAATGAATCTTCTTTTGTCTTGTTCATAAATCTCATTTTGTTTGACGAATAGAGATTCATTGTTTTTGGTGACCTTTTGTCTTGTTCATGAATGGAGATTAATTGGAAGTTCATGAACTTGGTGGTGAGTTAATATTTGGAGACTCTCCCTTGTCTCTAGTTTAATGGTCATTATTATTTTTTGGTGTAAATTGTAAGGTCCTAGTGGCCTATAAATAGTTCATCTCATCTACTCTTTTCTACACCAACTATTATTTATACTTGAGAGATTACTAGCAAAGAATGATGTTTTTCTTGGTGGAGCTTTGAGTTCACCATCTTGTGCCGAGTTGGGCTGAACCATATGACAAGTGGTCGGGCTGTTATATCCTGGAGGGGACAAGTCATAGTTTCGTGACTGTTGCATCGGTATTTGGGTTCTTCCTACCGCAGTGGGCTTGATCTCCTTAAAAAAAATGAGATATCCGTGCCTCAGTTTGATCTATTTGTATCTCATTTTCTTTGCATTATTTATCAATAAAACATGATTTTTCTGTTATTTTCACCAATACAGTATAACAAGGAACACATTAAAACATCAAATTGTTTCCCTTTTTCCTAAAATTTAGAGGCAAATGGAAACTAAAATCCCAAAAGTTCTCTCAAACTATAAACCATGGGTAAACTTGTGGCCTGTCTAATGAATTCTTTAAAAACAAATAATGTTCATTTCAATAGTGAACCTTAGGAATGATAACATTAAAAGAAAGTGCAAGAAAGCCATAAAATAAAATTTATTACACATTAGAGAAAGTTTGTAAAAGCACTTATGCTTGCCATTAACTCCTTCGGTACTTACACACGCATCCTTTTTCCAATTTTTGGTCAAAGGCTTGATTGTAACTAGGGCAAAATTTAATTTATTTCCTTGTGGTTTAGTTTAGAAGCCCATTGAGTTTCAAAAATAACCAATTACCCGTCATGTGGTTTTGGCCATTTTGTATTTTACATATTTGCGTTTAATAATTCCGTTCAAATTGATGGAATTTGTTCCACAAGAACCTAAGATAAGAGTTGACATGGAACGAAAACTCTGTCAAGAGTCAAAATACAATATAAAAGGACAAATATTCCCTTATCCTTCATATTCTTCTCCAAAGGCCATAACCCTAACCATCTTCTTCCAAAAAAATTAACCCTAAAAGGAACCCAGCCAACCCCCTACCTACAACCGTGTTACCTCTCCATCGCCATCAGCCACACTAACTAGCCAAGCAACTGTTCTTGGTAATTTATAGGCCTTGCTTAGGCTAAGCCCATAAGAACATCCCCAACCAAACCTTCAAATTTAGGGAAGTCATATTCATTCGAAGTCTATGTGGCAATTTGGCATCTCTAAAAATAAAAACTCCACTCGATGTGCCAAATTTATTATTTTTTAAAATTTGGCTTCTTTCTCATGTCCTTTCCTCAATTTGAAAATAAAAGTTATTACTTTATTGTGGCACCTACCTCATAGAATAATAAATAAATAAAAAATTAAAGATATGTTTCCTTTGGGCATGTCATATTTGACATATTACACCAAATACCACATGAGATTATGGCATTTTAGCTGGAATGCAAAAAGATGGTTATTTTTATCATTTGAAGTGCCAAACGGGAATCGACATACTAGAGTATGAAATAGAGATAAGGTAACCCCAACTAGGTATAAGTACTTAGATACCCACGTAAGGAAATAGTTAAACTAACACTACAGGAAATAAGACAATTAACGGCGTTTAATTAACGGCGTTTTATTAAACGTCACGTTTGCTAATTTTTAACGGCGTTTTGTAACCGTCGCATATTTTTTAAAACCAAAACGGCACCGTTTCCAATTGAAGGCGCTTAAAAGCGCCTCCGAATGCTGTAGCTACACGCGCCCCTTTATGAAACCCTTATTTTTTAATCTGAGTGCGAAGTGTAATACAATTTCGCGCACATCTCTCTCTCTCTCTCTCAGCGACGAAGAAGACGGAGGAGATCAATCGGCTGTTCTTGAAGCTTGAATACGCACACATCTCTCTCTCTCTCAATCCGTATACGCACACATTTCTTCATCGAAGCTCCATCTGCACCTGCGATTTCAAAGATTCAGAGCGATTTCGAAGCGATTTCGAAGATTCAGATGGATTTCGAGATTCAGAGCGATTTCGAAGCTCCATCGCCACCGTCATCTGCACCGGCGAGGTAGCCAGCTCCACCGTCTCTCTCTCTCTCTCTAGATCTATGAAATCAATGTTTTGAAGGCATTCTTACTTGAACCTCATTTGCAGAGATTCAGAGAGAGGCATTCTGACTTGATCCTCATTTACTGAACTTTAATCGATACTCTCTCTCTCTCTCTTTCTTTCGAATTTTACTGCATGTATAACATTTGTATACATCAATATTTGTTGAATTGTTGAATTGTTGAATTGATCTGTTAGGTTCTTTTTTGATCTCTCTATATACATATACATACAGCACACCCTATCTCTCTCTCTCTCTCTCTCTCTTTTCTGGAAGTTCATTTTGATGGCGTCTGAAACCCTAGAAGACAAGAAACAAGAAGAAATAGCTAACGTCGAAGACAAAGGTGAAGTGAAAGAAGAAGGGAAAACAGAGGAGGGTGAAGAAGAGAAGGAAGCGGAAAAGAAAGAAGAGGATACGGAAATGGCGGAGAAGGAAGAAGAAGATGAGGAGAAGGAAGAACCTGAGGTGAAAGGTGAAGAGAGTAAGGAGGAAGCAGAGGAGGTAAGCAAGAAGGCGAAGAGAGGCCGAAAGGGTAGTTCGAAGAAAGCTGCAAAAGATGAGAAGGCGGCGAAGAGTGAGCCCGGCTCGAAAGAGCCTGTTACGCCAATTGAGAGGCCGATCAGGGAGAGGAAGACTGTCGAGCGGTATTCGGAGCCTTCGACTGGGAGAAGTGCAAGCAAAGCATTGTCCATTGAGAAGGTGTTGACAGTAAATTTATGCTATACTTTTTTTTCCCCCTTAGTAATTGTGAATTTTCTCACATTGTGTTTTGTAAATATGCAGGGTCAAGGCACACAGCTTAAGGATATACCAAATGGTATGTGTTCACACATAAATTGTATGGGTGTATTAGAAGCTTGAATAATATTTTTGCCTTGAACATCCAACAATGCACTAAAATGTGGAATTATTTTATCTGCACTATTTGAAATGTCCAATCATTTCAGTTGTCTGACCTGCCTATTGAAAACCAAAAAATTTGTAGTGAAGTGTATAGTTGATAAAATCATATTGTGAATCAAAATATTAATTTTGCTAATTGTGAATCAAATTGAAATGAGAATTGTAAGATTTGACACAAAATATAAAAATGAATTAAATAATCGGATATATGAAAAATTAAAATAATGGATTTTGGTAATTTTGGAGCTTTGTGATTTAAAGTTGCCAGATGTTGAAAGCAAGTGGTGCTTTGTAATATAACTCTGGTATAACGGTGTTACCCAAACTGTAAAATAGCTTTTGTTTGGACTTGTACTTACTGTTTAGATGTGCACTACTGTATGGCTCAAGGAAAGAGGGGGGGGAATTCTGCGTCATCTAGTGATAATTGCCTACAAGCCTTGATGCATTGGAAGCAGTAACTTTGCCGGAGGATGAGGCCCACAATTTGATGTTAAAACTACTCACCAGAATTACGTTGGAACTTTGTTTACATATTTACATTTGCAGTGATCCCTTTCATTTCAGGGGAGAAAGGAACTGGAAAAGG